CTTTTTAGCTTGGTAATGTAAGCAGGACGACAAAGTACGATGCTATTATTCCAAAGAGCTGTAGGATGAAAGGGAAAGAGTAAGGCGAAATATCACTCGTCGGAAATAATTAATTTCTTTTCTTAAAATGTGTCACATATATTTCATGTTTTATATTTATCATACTAACAGTTAGGAATAGAGACTTGTTGACCACTGCGATACCCCCAACGGAGAGACCGATTGGATCCCCTTGCAAATGTGCCAGGAAAAGAGTCAGCTAAAAAACGAAAAAAACAGAATGAAGTAGTCTGGTCTAGTGTGGTCATCACAACGAAGATCGCTTTCATGATCACGAAATGGTCTTTGTGGCGATAAGTTTTGGCAGTACAGGGATGGACGGGAACCAGAATATAAGAAACTGCTGGAATGAGCCGACCAAATTGGAGGTGACTAAGTCTGAGCTTCTGCTTGGCTAACGAAATGGCATATATCCATTAATGATTTTCCTTGAACATACTTTAGCGTTCTTTATGGAGATTACGGTAGAGTGAATTTAGTTACTTACCTCGGCATGTTCTTTAAGGTCGTCGATAGACACGTGTGACTTTTGGATCGTTTCATAAAAACTGTGAGCCTGCAGATATAATCATGACATGTTGTGATGTTCAAGATAGATATCCTACGTACATCCTAAAATTAGATTGAAAAAAAAAAATCAAATAGAACAAAACCTAACAATAACAACCACATCTACGTAAAGTAAACATCACGTACGAAAAATTCATAATCAAATTTAAGTTATAATTTCATAATCGATTTCAGCAAACTAATAATTACTGTTAGTGACAGTTGTGCATTTCTATATCAAATCAAAATGAAAATTTCTTGTGTCAACATGAAACTAATTTCTACAGTTAATTACATATACCTTCCTCTTGATAAACCTTTAAGATGATAAATAAGAAAATTACTATTTGTACAGGATGTACTTAATTAAGCAATCGACAGAGACAGTAGCCACCGCTCCCTTATTTATTTATTTCAAGTATTTTTTTCGGATTGAGAGGTAAAAATTTACCTTTTCGTTTACTCGATTTCCAAACAAGAACACGACTATCAATAAAGAAGATACGCAGAAAGTCCAATAGAAATAGCCGACAATCGTGATGCGATCGGTATCGGCCGACGACTTTATGAGTTGATGAAAGTTGACGCAAATTAACGGCACATCCAATGTGACAATGATAAAAAGAAGTGGTGAGAAAATGGCATTAGCCAGTTGTACCGTGTGACACAATTTCAAGTGTTCTTTCCGCAAGTACGAGATGCTCAAGGAGTGGATGAATCTGTCAGAAACTTGGTTCTGGAAACTTGTGAACATTGTTTCTAGAAGCATACAAGTGACGCAGAAAATGAGCACAGGGAAACACCAGGAGAAGGAGCAGTAAGTTCCAAATATGAGTTCGACCCATCGAAGAAAGGTGTACTTTTCCCATGGTGAAAACAAAGATATGGTACCTCCGAAATAAACGATCATCATAACAATGACGACTGAATTTAGCGTCGCTGCAGAGCATGCTAGTACCAAGCCCTTGACTGTCTTGGCCTTTATACCGTCTAGGTTAAGTTCGGGTGCTGCCTCGACAAGACTGGCAATAAATATGGACATTTTTGACTTTCTACTTTGAGCAAATGGAAAGGCAACTAAGCAAATAGTCGTGGCACTCGCACATTGGAGAAACCAAACAGTGGAAACTAGTAAAAAGAAAAACTGATTCATTTCCTTGAACCCTAGGTAACAATGACTTGTCACAGCAATTAAAAAAAGCAACCACTGGCCAAGAGCGACAAGAGTGCTGTAAAAACGCGACACGCACCATGTCTTTTGCACATTTTCCTCAAACATTGCCGTTGTGCCAAAGTATTGTCCTGTGAGTTTCATGACGAGAAATATTGGACGCAGAATCGCCGACAGCTGTTTGCGTAGATTTTTCGCTATTTCCTCTTTCTTTTGGTATTCTTCGATCGGGATTTGATTGCCTGTGATGTCTCCTGAATCTCTGCGATGTATTTCAATCGCATCAACAGATCTGTGAAACATTGTGTGTTCTCGAATCGGGACTGATTCCTGCCAATGTAATACATCAAACACTGATCTTAACTGGCAGCTGTTGTTTATAACTTCATTTAGAAGAGAGTTTGGGTGAGGACATTATATTGAATGAGGAAAAATCTTGTCATCTATTCATTGGCTCGTTGTCGACGCTCTTTGTTCATCTGCGTCATTTAGCAACAAATAACAATACCTCCTTGTTATAAGAAATGTAAATGTAAAACAAGAATTAATTACGGCTGTAAAAAACACCCTTAGCTTTAAATGCTTCTCAAATAAACAGTTCTTGACTTCGACGCCGTGGGAATGAGGCTTATAATTTTATCGTAATCATATAAAGTACAGTCTCGCTCACTTAGCTAACTCGAAGTTTCGTGCAGTGATTTTCACTTATAAAAATAATATTATATAATAATTATAAGGACTTCTATAGCGCCATATCCGTATGCTCATGGCGCTTTACAACTGAATATTCAAGACCGAAAATTTTGTAGATTCAAAAATTACATCAATAATAAAACACAAATATATAGAAGTACAAGTTAAAAATTCGTATCTAAAAAGTAAGATTAAAATTAAAAGTAAAAATTAATAATTAATATTCTTATCGCAATATTTCTTTAATCAAAATGTTCTTTGAGTAAGAAAGTCTTTATAGAAGTTTTAAATTTTAAAATATCATTTTTACGTATGGGTTCTGGCAGTGAGTTTCAAGTTGTAAGTGCTGCAAATGAGAACGATCTACAGCCATATTTCTTCAATTTTGCTAATGACATTGTCAGGAGCCTGACAACATACAAAAATACCCCGTAAAACTGAAAATTTTATGCATCCTCTCCTTTTTCTTCTTATATCCTATTATAAAATAATTATATAATTTCGTAAATATCTTATACAATTAAAACGAAAAGGCAGAAATCGGAGACAAAATTTTATGAACACCTAATGATTGGAGAGTACGGAACTACTGACCACGTAACCGAGAAGTGTATATTTCATCGTCAACATAACATTAATTGAACTCGCTGTGCTGCAAAAGGAAGAGTATAATGACCTAGAAATTAAAGTGATCCGTTAAAAGGGGAAGTGCCCCAAGCTTTCCTGCTTTGTGTTATTCAGTAATTTTCAATGACCATTCAAGTTATTGTGAAATTACGACATGCCTAGTTGCAAGAAATAGTAATTTTTTTGTCTTTTCCATGAACAGTACTCCTTTAGGTTTGGTCTCGATCGATGCCGTGATGTCGACGTCTTCCTTGTTTGCCGTTATTTCATGTTAGATTAAACCACAGAAACATAGCGTTTTAATATCATGCAAATTGCTTTTTAAATAAATGAATTATTTACTCGGTAAGTTGTTGTCGAAACCTTCTTAACTTGCCGATGGAAGCGATCTACTTATAACCATAATTGGAGATGAGGTTTCGTGTTTCATGACGTGTTCCTTCGTCACTAGAATGGCAAAAAGAGAGAGCGCAGTACAGAAGGGTTATACGTTTTTGGGAATCTTTGAGACCAAGAGGGTTACAGCCATCAAAGAGAAAAGAAACAGGAGACAACAAGCTGCTTTCCACCCGAATGCCTACCCCTACACTCTCTGCAGGCAAGTTTGCGCATCCAAGATCGGTCTCTAACGCATATGAGGTCTTCCTCAAACGCCAAACATTGGCCTGTTCCGCTTGCTTCTCTGCCTTAGGAGACAGGAGATGGCATCATGCGCTTGGGGAGTGAGGAGCTTAACGGCGTTCGATGTATATACATTTTAGGCGAGAAATGATTGAAAAAACAATTAATACTTTTAAAATGATATACTAAAGAAAAGAGAGAAACCGATTTCTCGACGGCCGTTAAAACTGCCAATTTTTAGACATCCTAAAGAAGTAAAAAGTTTAATTCTCCCAACAAAAATCTGCATCTGCGCTTTTAGTCCATTGGTGGAACTGACGACCATTTAAAATAATTAAAAACTAACCTCGCAGAGTTCCTGTCTTGACACTGCCATGTAATTACTTTAAGCAAAACACAATCCTCTCTAGATTTCGTCATTCAGCGAATGGTGAATATTTTCTTAGTTGACAGGGCAGAGTTTTGTAAAATCAAATAAGAACGTAATTTATACTAGTCTTGAAAAAAGTCGATTAAAAGAGGAGTCTCACTGATTTGAACACAATTCCGAGATTTACCTCACGCCGTCTTATTAGGTCACCACAACAACTTAAGCAGCTAACTTTTGATGGGCATAAAAATTAAAATAATAATTTATTTCTTTCTATTGAAACATTTGTCTTAAAATTGCAGTAAGCAAGAAATACACTGACCTTTTCGTGGACCTTATCCCCAAATGAAAACAAAATCAGCAACAACGAGATTACGAAGAGAGTCCAGTACACAAAGGCTATGATAGAAATGCGGCTGGCCTCGCCTCGCGTAAGCTGATAGCTGTTGACGCAAATTAATGTTGCATCCAATGTGATGATGACACAGAGGAGCGGCGAAAATACGGCGCTGGCTAAGTCCACAATCTCACATAGCTTCACGTGTTCTTTACGCAGGTACGAGATGGTAAAATTGTGTATAGATTCGTTCTCGAGTTTATTCTCTAAGGTCGAGAACATCTTCTCCAGAAGCATGCAAGTGACGCAAAACATCAAAACGGGTAAGACCATGGCGAAGGAATAGAAAAATGGCATTACTACCTCGGCAACTCGAACGAATTTGTGCGCAAACTGTTTCCACGGTGGGAAAGCAGAGATTATGCCATCGGAATACATGCTAAAAAGGCCAATGATGACGGTATTGGCAACTGCTGCGGAGCAAGCGAATATGAGGCCTTTCACTGCCTTCGCCTTAACACCCTTGAGCTCGGGCTCTGTCTCTACAAAACTGGAGAGAAATTGGGAAAATCTCGATCGCTTGTTCTTATAAAGAGGCATCATGATCCAGCAAATAGTTGCGCCACTCGCACATTGCAGATACCACACAACGATCTGCAGTAAGAAGATAAACCTGCTCATGTCCTTCAAACCGATGTGGCAGTGACTTATTACGGCGAATACAATCAGCATATGCTGGCTCAGAATGACAAGAGCGCTGTAGAAACGCGAAGGGTTCCATGTACTCTGCTTATTGTCATCAGTGACTGCCGTCGGACCAAAGAAGTGTCCCGTAAGTTTCATGGCTGTCAAAATTGGGCGTAAGATCTCCGATAACTGTTTACGAGTATTCACCGTTAAACTCTCGTTTCCTTGACATTGTACAGGAGGGACGTTTACGCCACTGTCAATTACATTTCTGTCATTGATTTCAAGCACATGAACTGAACGTTGCGGCATAGCGTTGCTCTCCCGATCAAGTATTTCTCCTTATTCAATGGATCACGTACTGTTGATGTTACTACCGTTATTTCCATAACCATCTAAGCAGGTGAAGCTTTCCAACAATGACTAAAGAGAGCTGGGAGATTGCGAAATCCTGAAATTCTTTGAGATGTAATTAATAAAACATTATTTCAGCCATGTAATCAGCGCCCTTGAATATTTCTTGTTTTTATAAACCCATGCTGAGTTCAGATTGAATTCATACTTGCAGTAATTTACTCTGCATTGCTTCTTCGCCTTAGTCAACCGATTTCTTCGCCGTGTAAGGAGTCAAGCAACAGAACTTACAGATACATGGCGAAATGAGATCATGGTTTCCTTTTTCCTTGTTTTCGGCAGAAATTAATACCTTTATGCAATGCCATATAAATGGATGAAAGCTCTCTAAAATAATCATCCCACAGGGGTGATTTTGAAAACAGTATTTCGAAATTCATTCCAGAGTAGTTTAAATCCCCAATACATGAATCATCAAATTTTGCCATCGATTCAACAGCCCTCAGTTTAATCTTTCTCTTTATTTTCTTTATTGATATACACTAAATGAAACTCTTTGCTAATATTTGCCAATCGATGGCGCTTACGATAAATGTCAGTCAAAAACTGGCCGAATAGAAAAGCAATTTTATGGGGAAAAACAATCCGCTGTTTTGTAGGGTTATTTCTTTCATTGAAATTCTTTGGAAATTCCCATGGAGTTATTCAATGCACTCCTGTTGACATTACATTTATCAGTACTTCTTTCCTTCTTTATTTTGTGAATTCCGTAAAAGATGAAAGGTAAAGTTTATGATTTCATTCACTTTTAACTCTAGAAGGATATCAATTATTTCGGGAATAAACGTTTTTGCAGACAAAAAATTCCTCCAATTTAATGAAGTAAGAGTATCCTTGTTTTTTGTTAATTTTTGAATTGTGATTAGAACATTTGGCCATAATAGAAAAAAAGGAATTAATGAAGCGCATAGCAAGAATAGTTAAAAAATTACAGGGAAAAATCACTGAGTAGGTCTGCAGTTGTTGGTATTGGGTCGAATCCATTGAATAACTCGCCTTCCCTTGTGTAGAGTCTTCTTCGAAAATCAATGTGTTTAATGGTTACTATTAGCAACTTAGAATTTCGACTCCTTGCTGTGGCATACATACACAAAGTCGAACCATACTTAATAATCTAAATCAATAGATCAACTTTTTTAGTTAAGATGTATTCCAAGAGATTATAAATTCTATTGAAAGAGTTCATTTTGCAGTCAGTTGTACGTGTCAGCACTTTGACGTTTACTGTTATTTTCTTGTTCCTTTTGAATATTCCAGACTCTCATTAAGCAGCTGCCACGAAAAGAGAACATTTCGCAATATCCTGCACGAAATGATCTGTTAAGTACCCCGTATATGACCGGGTTAATTGCAGCACTTATGGAAACCAAGAAGACATTAATGAGATACACTTTCCTTGGTAAGGAGTGATTTCCTGTTACAGCATCCGTGAATTCGATAATGAAAACAGGGAGCCAGCACAAAGTGAAGCCTAACACCATGGCAAATAACGTTTTGGTGATGTTTATTTCTTCAACGCTTAGTCTTAAGTTTGTGGAGGTGGTTGAGGAAAAGCGTTGTCGATGCTCTCGTACTTTCAAAAACACTTTAGTGTAGCAGAAAGTTATCACGGCAAATGGAACAACGACATTGACCAGCCCCAGGATGCCGGTGTAAATCTTATCTGTGGCGGGATGATAGAATTCTAATACGCAGGTAATCTTGCCAGAATGGAAATGAAAATAACCCCAGCCTGTAGCAAGAGGTAAGCCAAGGAAAAATGCGGCTGAGGAAACTACAGCCAGTACGGAGAAACCGACGAAATTCTTCTTGAAAATCTTGCGGAATAACCACGGCTTCACCACTCGGCAGTACCGATTAAAGGCTAGCAACGCTATGGTCTGCAGTGACACGAATGCCAAGAAAAGCACAGCAAAGCCATGAAATGCACACACTACTCCCCCGTATCTCCATTCACCCACTAGCAATACTCCCCAGACGAGAGGCATGCAAAATGCTGCCATAAAAACGTCCGATATGGCAAGCGCAAAAATATATAGATAGGTAACGCTTCGTAAATTTGGATTTTTGTAGAAGATAACGCAGACAAGAATGTTGCCTAGCAAAGCCGTCAGGTTGATTATCACATAAACTGTTGTCTCCGTAATAAACTCGGCTGTGTTTCTTGCTGCCAATATAGCTCGGAGTTCATCATATGGATTTTCTTCAGCTGATGTACCGTTGGTTATCATTTTTCTAGCTGGCTGCCTCCTTTCTCGAGAACGATACTATTGAAAGAGAACAAGAAATGAACGTTACCGTCAAAGTGATAAATATAAATACAAAGGAACCATACTCGGAAATATGATCGATCCAAAATGATAACGATGAAAAATATCAACAAAGACAGGGTCATTTCTAACACGCATGTCTTTGCAATATGGTAAGCGCACGAAAAACTTGTCAAATTGCTCTAATCATTCATAAAAAATGCTTTCTAGGATAGACTAATTCTTGAATGAATTGCAAAAGTCCAATACAACTGCTCGTTGGTACGGAGGATTAAGTCAAATCTCGGCTATTGATCATTTGAAATGACGTGCAAATGATCTAAATGATTATCAACCTTATGACAGTTGCAGAATTAATGAGGAATGACCCATTAGAGGTCCCATTACAGTCCTGGTAATAAGTGAAATGATCTTCCTATCTCCATCAGTACTCAAATTACCGTTTCTCTCTCAACATAGTGCATTTTTCTCATTTGTTTTAGCCCTTTCGAATAAGAGAAAAGAAGAAAGAAAAGCAAAGAAAAAGAGCAATGGTAAATATGCACTCGATCTGCAGGCGCTAAACCAAATGCATTTTATGTCGTATTAGTTTCATTTGTTCAAATTTGTATTCGCTGTGGTTTGCTGAAGAAGTCACTATGAAAGTAATCACTCTCGACTGCGATTCGCACGCAATTACTTCAAGTTCACGTTACAGTACCACGTTCCCTAATTTGTTCATATTTGTTTAGTGAAAAATTTTAGCTTTCTCAGGTTTGTTGTCGAAGAGTCATTAAAGTGAAAATTGATTGAAAAAAGTTTAATTTCGACCCTTTTCATGTAAAATGTTTTGAACAAAATCATCGGCGACTCCCTTCATTTTTTGACGACAAAAAAAAATGAAATAAAATAAAACAAAACAAAGAAATTAAAATAGGTTCTCCCGACAACAAGATAAATAATGAATTATTTACTTAGTTTTCATTTCCTGACATGATCCAAGTGCACGTAAGTACAGAAAAAAGACTAAAAGACTTTGCTGGCTCCGCTTTCTATACCGAAAATAATAATAATAAAAAAAATTTCCTCAGGCGTCCATTTACGACCAACTGTCGTCTACCATTTAGACACCTACATCCGTTCATAACAAACCTTTCCTGGTGACAAACGTGTGCGAAATTATCCGACCAGTCGCTGGAAACGGCGCCTTGGAAAAATTTTTAATGTGATACAGCGATATCATTGCTTTATCTTTTATATTTAAAGTAGTTTTATAGCATATTATCAGTTTGTAAACGGAATAAATGAAAAAGCATATAGCTGAATCATAAAAGGTACATCGTCTGAAACATTTTTTTTATTTATGCTATACCATATTTCCTATTTACTTAGGCGCACGAAAACCGAGAAATATTTAAATTGCTTCCCTTGCTTTCTTTAAGCGGACATAACTGGAGTGAAAATTATAAAAACGAGAGAATAATCAAACAAAGGAATTAATGGCCCTCTGAGTACTGAACTTAGTAAGATTTTCGTGTTTACCTCTATGTTGTAAGAAGGTGGAAAACTTCTGCGTCGTTTTATAGTGGTGTTATACCAATGTTTCTATTGATCCAACAATAGCGTAATAACGAAAAAAAAAATCAATATTGTATTTCCTACCAGTTAGATGGATATGTAAAGTTAGTCTTCAAAGTTTCATATCAAATGGCTTAAAGAAACCTTACAACTGAAGATAATTTGACCAAAGACAAACTTTACTACAGGAAAAGCCCTGCTTTCTTCCTAAACACGCCTTTGAAATTAGTCAATATTTCTCATTTCGATTCTTCATTCGGTCAGAGTGTGTTCGTTTCATCTAGCTTAGAAATTAAATATTATGTTTAAACAGCAAAGCTTAAAGAATCAACCGAAAAAAAAAATTTCCAACGGGCCTGTCACTTCAACCTTAACTCTAAGGATTGACAGCGTATAAAACGCTTCATTAATAGTGACAATATGCGTTTAGATTTTCTCTCAGCTTTCCGACTACTGAAATTATTGTGTCGATGGAGATGATACAGAAGTAGCTCAGAACTGTACCTGAATAACCAAGAGCTTGTTGTCCACGAATTCTCTGAGGCCCAATCGAAGGAAACAGACCTCACACGAGGCCGACAAGAATCACAAGTGGGGTAAACTATTTTTATAGTTCCTCAACGCAGGTTACGTGTTTTTTTCCATGCAAACTGCAAATGTAATTGTAGAAAGCAAATACAAGGAAGATATTTTAATTGCTTTTTGCCTTATTTGCATGTGAGATTTTTTTTTGCTAAAACCTGTCTTGGAACTTTGCATCAACATATATTTGTTTACATCTACCTATATTTGTTTGCATCCATATACATTTTTTTCAGCTTTCTCATGTGAGCCACTGTGGGAAAGTTTTCAAGTAAATAGTAGGTGCAACTTCAAGTAGATTAAAAGAAAAGATTCTCAATTTCTTAATCATGGAAATTTCATTTTGATGTTACGATGACTGAGGCAGGTTTTTCTTCAAAATTTTGTTTTGGCCATTATAACGCCCCAATTGGATTATCACATTAATGGATATTAAAAAAGAAAAAGAGAGAACAAAAAAGAAAGAGAGATAGCAAAAATGAGCTCACAAGTTTTATCTTAGCCAGGGAACAATGAAGCTTACGTCAACGAGATTGAGTCTGTTGAACTCCTATTTGAGAAAAAAAAAAATTAAAAGTTTTAGGAATTCTTATTAATTACCAGAGAGAATTTGCCCATGGATTTTTAAATGAACGGAAATGAAAGTTAGCCGATTTCACCTTGGTCTACAATCATGCAAGTTCAACTGATAATAGCTTTGCCAGAAAATCAATTTGTTTTAACCATGGCTATAATTAAAGTGCTATAATTAGATGATATCTAACATATAGTATGCATTGGTGGAATCGTGTCCGTGCACGATACAAATTTGAAATGTCGAAGCAGGCGCGTAAATTGCTCGATATCGAGACAAATGGAATTAATCATTTATGATGAAAAAAAAAATTAAAAAAAAAAAAAAGAAAATTAATAAAAAGATAAAAAAGTAGGGAAGGCGAGAAATTTCCTTGAATTTTTTGCTTGTTGCGTTAACTAAATTTTATTGCCGGAGGAAAATAGCAAAGCCAATAGAGTAATAAATTCAAATAACAAAAAAAATCCCTTGGGATTTTCAAGTTCTGAAAATGTTCGTTGGCATAAGTGACTCTCTAGAAACTATAAAGCAATGATATCTAGAGTTTTTACATGAAGCAGAGCAGAGAAAATGAAAAGGTTTAGAAAAACAGCATGAAGTTAAGTATGTTTTAAATCTAAACCCAATCAATCGATCGCACAAAACAACTTAAGACGAAAAAAATGGAAATTTACAACTCGTATTGTTGAACTCCGAAGCTCATATAAAATGTACTTTCTGTTGTCATCATCATAGGCCTTCGAGGTCCATTAAAGATTGAAAATACTTCTCTCAGTATGAGACAACCGTTTTATTTTATTTTTTCCCAGAAAAAAACTTCACGTACGGGTGCTACAGTTAACAAGTTTTCACCTCAGCGGGATTCAATAATATGATCGATGTTTGCGTATACCGAGTCGCGAGGCAAAGAGGTAAATATTCACCTCTTTCGCCGACAATGGGGTGAATATTTGTTTCAGAACATACCAGACAGAAATCAAAAACTTTGTATTTATAAGTATACGAAAAAGCGGTCGGAAATTAATCTCTTGATGCGCGATTTTTCTCTTGGGTTGCACAGAGTGATACTTGCTAATCACTTCCGAGCCAGTCAATCAGCGCGCCCGAAAAGCACTATTCACTCGTGTCTGTGTGATAAACACGTAAAACAAGTTAGGATATTAGCAACATCTTACCTATCAACAAATATTATTTCGGTTTTATTTTTCAAACTACTCGTAAATTACACTTTACTCTCCCCAAACGAACTCTTCTGATCGTGAACCACATTGTTAAAAGCCGTTTTGCTCCTCACTCGAATACTGCAGTGAAACTCATGTAACTGCCTGCGGCCACTTTATTGAGCGTACACCTCCTGTAAGACAAACTACGCTTTATCGTGTTGTTGCCATATAATTCCTTTCCCACCAGAACCAACCGGGAAAGAATCCATCATCATCATTGCTATTCGTTGCGAAACAAAACACGACTGTCACGTTAGTGCAGCTTGCAGTGAAAACAAAACTGGTGACCTTGAATTCATGTTATCACAAACTTTTTGACTTAAGTCTTAGCCCGACGCCGAAAAAATAACATTACTTTTACCACAAGGTTTAAGTCATTAAAATGGATAATCGTCTCAATCAGAAGATTAAGTAGCCTACTCTTTCTATGGATAGTAAATTTAAAATAACAGAAACATTCCTTTCAAAGTAATTGCGTATGTTTTAAACAAGTACAACGTTTAACGCTAGCTAAACTGGACTAAATGATATATGGTTGAAAGGAACACAATGGGCATTCAAGGCTGCCTAGAACTACCGCGATGTTTCTTAAGAGGCTTTTTATACAGCTCTTACTCTACTGTCAAGTTAACGCAGCCGAGACCATTTTGCTAGAAAATGTTTCATTTAGTTCACCGGCCAGTATGTGTATAGAATCTCGATCTTCATTGTTTTTGCCTCTTAAATAATATTAAGATTTGTAGGCATAGTCTAAACGAAGCAGCAGCTGATCAGTAGGAGACGATCGTGGTCAAAATGAAAGTTTAATGTGAGTCACAAAATGACAAAACACTCACTTGTTACATAAGCTGAGCGAAGAACTAGTCAATCAAGAGCTGCTCTTCATGATATACTGTATATAGCAATAAACAATTTGAACACTTACATGTTGGTCTCACAGAATCTTCCCGCGGGTATATAAAGACTCCAGAAGTGTTGCAATTTCCAACTCAACAGAAAATCACACCGTCACAAGTGACATTTAGCGGCTCGGGAAGCACAATCATTTCTCAGTATTTATTTTGCATCATATGACTCTGTAATGTGCTCTAAATATAAACACCAACACTGCTAACTGATAACAGTTTGTGTCATTTTGAAATGTATGCCAAATCGGTTAAAAAAATAAAAAAATAAAAAACTTTGCCAAACCAATGACAAAAGATTCATGTTGTCACTTGACTGAATTGATGGTTAACTGCCGGTTTGATGCCACACTGTGCATTTTGTGAGGGAGAGGAGACTGAGATACTGGCATGACCAAAACGAAATCCTGGCGCAAGCCCAGTGGTGGGACTTCTCATTAATACAGTGAAATTAGAGGGAACAAAATGTTGCTTGGAGACCGAATAAGGAAAGGTAAACAGTGTGCAGATTGTGTAATAAAGTCAATGATATACTTCTGTGATGTACAAAGCAAACGGTGTGTGACATACTAATTGTCAACACGTTGCTTGGTTTCCCTTTAACAAAGGCCAATCATTAGCAGATGCAAATTAGGTAAAAAAAATAACCTCGTGCGATGCATACTAAAACAGTGCAACATTGTTTGGTGGGCACTGTTAGTTTACTTCGAGTAAATGCATTCGCTGGTCAAGAGCCTCTGATTTGTCTCAACACATTAGGGAATATCTCATTGTTCATTTGCCTCTGCTTGTTGGATTCGGATTATGGCTCTATTCGTGGAACATCTATGTCTAACAAATGTAGTCTTCGCAGTTCTGCTTGTGTTTATGATTTATCTGTTGGTCGAGTTTTACCAATTCAGAGGAATGCCCCCAGGTCCACGATTAACAAACCTTCCTTTCATTGGAAACCTTTTCAGCTTTGATTTTGATGCGACAACCTTCCAAGATGCCGTCGTCAGGTAAACACTGTTTTTCTGCTGCCCATTAGCAATTAAGGCCCTCAGCATATGTTTGCAGTAATTAACGTCTTTTCGTTTTTGTTTTTGTTTTGTTTTTGAGAATAACCTGAAATAAGCGCAAATGAACTTAAGGCAAAAAGAATTTTCTCTCAAAATGCCGTTGACTTGCTTTCCATCTAGATACATTCTAATGGCATGCACAAATTAGTTCACGCCGTGACAATTATGCAGCGCCACGATAATAGCTGGTATGTTGTTAAAGGTTATGCGGTAGAGAGACAAGAGAATTTGGAGTAATATTATATTTACTGTACTATAACTCTATACTTTTATCCATTTTCCTAACAACGTGAAAGCTTCAATAAACAAGTCACGCCTGACCGAGAGAGGGGTTGAAATTAGAGCTATTTCGTTTTAAAAATTCCATAGTTAGACTAAGAATGAATTAATTAGGTTTCAATACTCATAACGATAGGCCTAAAAAGTTATCATTCAAGGATAAATGTTGTTCATATTGTGATAGCTTGCGAAAGAAATATGGAAGACTGTTCTCCCTAAAGCTCGGAAGCTACAAGTTTGTTATCGCCGGTTCAACAGAAGCTGTCCGGGAGGTGCTGGTGACAAAGTCTTCCGAATACGGTGGAAGACCTAAGACCTACAGTTTGAGAACTTTAAGCCTTGGTAAGTATTCTGAGGGATTCTTTAAGGGAGACACATCTGTCAGAATCGTGTCATTAACCTGAGGGGCCAAAATCATTTCATTCTTTGGGTCATATGCTGTATAAAACGTATACAACAGGACAACTTCGAATAAAGACTGTATTCCAGAATAACAATATACAAGACAGCTTTCACGCATTCCTTTTCATTTTCCTTTTTTGAGTTTTCATCAAGAGTTCAAAGTTCAATTCGTGGGGGGTAAGAAACATACAAAAATCCACGTGACACTCTCGGTTCAGTTTTCAACATATGCAAAATGCCCCTACTATCCTCCATCAAGATCAAGATTAAAAGCACCTCTCCTTTCCTGACTCTCCTCAAGCATATATAACTTGCTGCTTTATTGCAACCTGTTTTTGTTTGGAGAACGTGTCTAGTGTGTCTGTTCGCTTGTTTTTTGTGTCCGTGTGACCGTATTTTATCATTGTTATTATTATTATTATTATTATTATTATTATTGTATCAGTTGTCTGTTTTATCTCATCTATGTTCATTACTAATAGTTCGCACATGACTGATGTAATTTTAGTACTAGTTAGGGAGCAAGCTCGAAGTCATTAGCCCCATGGTTATATGATAGGAGCTGAGTACCTGTAAATTGGGGCGCGACTGGAATGAAGTGGGGCGCACACCTACAGGGGAGCTACTATACCGGATCTTATGCAACTGTTTGCATGATTTTAGTCGTTTGAAATAAATTAATTATTTTGAAACTGAAAACGCAAAACGAAACAATGGTTTCCACATAAGCTTCCTCGCTAGGAAAAAAAAATGACAAGCTCATTTATAGATATTGCAGATATTATCTGGCGAAATAAACAAATCTCTCGCATCTTGCTTTCGTTCGTTAGGCTTCAAGAACATAGCTTTCAGTGACGGCTTGTCGTGGAAAATTCATCGGCGTATCCTTATCTCCGCCCTAAGACAGCACATTTCCAACACAGCCTTCATTGAAGAAAGAGTGACTTACACGGCTTCGAAACTTTTGCGATTTCTTGAGGAACAGCAACAGAAGGACTTTGATCCCGCTGATTTTCTAAACCAGTGTATTGTCGAGGTCCTGGGACGAATAATATTTGGAAATGATTGGGACCTCAGCGATCCTCAAATTAATGACTTAATCCATAGAAACGAACTCGGTCTAAAAAGCTATAAAGACTTCCAAGCCATGATGTTTCTGGACTTTTTTCCCCTAAGCCAATTATTTCCTTTCAGTTCGCGGAAAAAAATATTCGGCATATTTCTTTCCACTCTGGAGATCATCCGCCTGAAGTTGAGAGAAAGAATGGTAACTTTCGATCCCCAGGTACCCAGTTCCAATTTGATGGATGCGTTACTGCATGCCCAGAAGGAAGCTATGGAAGAGACCGAGACCAATGAAATCAAGGCTTCCCTTTTCTCTGAAGATCATCTTATTAACACTATACAGGACATGCTAACAGCTGGTTACGAGACTACTGCGCATGCACTGACATTTGCGTTAGGCTATTTGGTTCAGTACCCTGATTACCAATATGGTATTCAGAAGCAACTGGATGACGTCGTTGGTCGACGTCGCATGCCACAATTGGAGGATCGCCCCAGACTGCCTCTTATCCATGCTACCATAATGGAAAGCTTAAGACTGGGTAACGTAGTACCCCAAGCTTTACCACACCGAGCTGTACAAGACACCTTCCTGTGTGGTTATAGAGTGCCTAAGGATACTATCGTATATCCAGACACGGAAGCAATACATCTTGATCCTGCTTTCTGGAAGGAGCCGAGGCTCTTCAACCCTTATCGCCACCTCGATAAAGATGGCAATTTGATAACAAATCAGGGAAATTTTTATCCGTTTGGAGCAGGACGCCGTGTGTGTCCAGGCGAGACTCTTGCTAAATTGGAAATGTTTGTTCTCTTGTCTTGGATGCTTCACAAGTTTACATTTCTTCCTGAGGAAGGCAAGGGCCCACCTACAATAACGCATCGAAGAGCAATCACACAGTATCCAGCTCCTTTTAAGATCAGGGCTATGAAGAGAAACTGAATAAATATCAGCATTTAAAGAGAAAACGTAATATAGGAATATTTAATCAAAATTCCAATTCAGCCTGGAAACAGTGGACAAGAAGAGCCATCTCTTGGATTGCCCACTGCTAAATTTTCAATATTAGTATACTCCCATTATTCATTACACAACTAGCTTATGATCTGAACTAATACGCATAACAATCGTGAGCGAACGATTTAATATCTATAGTATAATCCTATAATTTCCTCAAAGAGTAACGGGGACATATCAATTAAGTTTAATTTCTGTTGTGCAGCCTCGTCAGTAAAGGGTGCACTCGCAAAAAGGGGAAAGGTGTCAATTGCTTTTGATCAATACAGTGAGAGCTTTCTTATTCTGTCATCTTTACGTTTCACGACAGAAACAATTCGATTTGTGTCGCTTGAATAGAAACTCGAGGATTATCAGCCCAATGTAGTAGTAATGTATTGCCGACGACGTTGTCGATAAACGGGGTTTCCGTACCATTCAGTTCATTCTCGTCCTAAAAGCTTCACTTATTTCTTTGTTCCATCGCATGAAGCCACAAGTGGCAACGAACAGATGTTAAAGACACTGAACGACATATACACCCCAGTTCTAAAGCTAATGAAGCTTTTCGAATCCGATGACGGACATACAAACTTGGAGCAGTTCGAACACATGCCAGCTGCAAAACACATCTTTTTGCAAATATACTGCGGCTCGATAATGTTTCTTTAATTTCTCATCTTTACTTCCCTTCTCTGAGGAATTTTATCCTTTAAAGGTGGAAAATCACAAGCTATCCGAGGTAGTCGAGTTTTCAGACAAGATGCTCTCGTTTCTCCTCGGAATCATAATCATGTATAAGTTTCTAAAACATCTTTATTCTAACGGCACGGATCCAATAACCCTTGCCATAACTCTGTGCTGACGTCTGATTGCAGCAACTGTTTTATTGCTTGTCCTTTATTTTGGATCTAAAGTGAGCGAAAAGGTATATTTCCGGGAAATACATCTAGTCATTGTTTCATCTGCCATTTAAATTTCAAATAGACTTCGAGACCACTTGATACTATGACATTGGAGTTACGTCAAAATATTTCTTTTTTAATTAAAATACTAAGTATTTTAAAAATTTTATAACCTTCTTTTTTTGATTCATAAGCTGTAATTTGAAAGGAAATGCGAGCAGCGTGTATTTAACGATCAAACAAACAGTCCGTATTCCAAAGCATGAAGAGCTTTTTTATTTCTTTTTCAGCTCATTAAAAATCATTGAATGCAAAATCATTAACCAAAAAAAGAAAAAAAAAAGGTAGATAAAGACATCGATAATTTGTCGTGAGTTTAAAAAAAAAATTATGAAATTTGATTACTCCTCTTCGTCGCAGACTACTTATCCGTTCCAAGAGAAATTTAGAATATACCCTGAGGAGAACTTATCAGTTTGTAATGGTAATAACTGAATTTGTACCTGACATGCATCAATTATTCATAGAGAAGATTAAGCAAAAAGCTTTTCGTCGGCAGGAATCGGTGTTTCGCCTGAGCATAGAGACTCGATCGTCAGATTCCTTACCTTTTGGAGTTTTCACGTGGATTCTTTGCGCATCACTCTCAAAGTACTGTCCCTAAATATCGAGATGCTTCACAATTACTTGACAAGTTTTCATTGTATAAATATAACTCATGAACGTGCTTTTCGGAATCCTCTTGCGATTGAGGGCCGGACTATTTCTTTCACGTGGGACTAAATATGGAAGAAAAGTGAGAACCTCTCATCGATAGCCGCGATCGTATCTCTGAAAAAGATTTAGGTCCATAAAGAATAATTTACAATTTAAAAAAGAAAAAAGAAGAGGAAAAAAGTAATTATGCAAAACAAATATTAATTTTTTTTTCTTTCTTTTCTTTCTTTTTTTTTTTAATGATGGTTCTTAAATTTTGCAGTGCATATTATAACTAAACCGAATGTTAATGTCGGGAGAAAAATGAATATAATAAATGTCTCCCGAAGACACTTTACAGGCCTAAGTTAACTCAAAATCATCAATACTATATTTGAGCTTGCCATTGACATGTACTTATCATTTATTGACAAGAAAATTAAAAAGAGACAGCATGTGGTGTGAGGAACACTTAAAATAAAACTTAACAATCTTATATAAAATATTAAAAACTTAAGGTCTCTTTCTTTATGTAAGGGTTAATATTATAAAGTTGTCGGAAGGTTTGAACACAAAATATAAGATGGTGTTCCCCTTGGCGTGAGAAGTGCTTAAAGGAACCTTTTTGCTTTTTTTTGCCGTCATCATCGTTGTTGTTGTTTTTCATTTTTGGTGCACTCTGCTTTCAGCCATGAGTATGAAATATAAGTTGTGTGAGAAAAAGCTAATATTTTGATATAAGTTATTTATGAATCACTGAAAAGAGCTAAATAGAACTGAAGCATTTTGAGAAATACATGACGCTTTTAATAATTAAAGGAAATTAAGTCACTGAAACACAATTAACATCAAAGACAAACCGCTACCAGCCGCAGTTAGAAAGTTCTTTTTTTATTTACTTTAGATTTGAGATACTGAAAAACTTGACAGGATCTCTTTAAATTTGGAAGAGTTTTAGAAAAACAAAAACAAAGAAAAGAAGCAAACTACAACTACATCAACATGAACTAAAACTGTACCTTTGCAAACACTTGAATATCTGGCTCTAGGTTTTATAAAGTAATTTTCTCTTCTTTGTTTCTATCATACTTTATTCACGGGCCCCCTGGGGAAAAGTTTACTTTTTTAATAAATATTTTCTTGTTTGTTTTTTCGATTTTTAACTTTATTTTGACCGGTAGTATAGGTACAGAGAAACAGTGGGAGTTAAAAGAAAAGCAATATGTTTTTATATCAAGGTGGGAGTAATTGTGTTCAGGGTTCGGCTTTTTATTAGTTTCGTTCATCCTTAAAGGAAGACTTTTAAATCACGAGATTTGAGGTTTCATTCAGCAAAGAAAACAGGAAATGCCATCTTTAATTCAAATACAGCCAACAAACGATCAAACTTCTAGAGAAGACTCGTCAAACCTGGAACAGAAAGATATTGACGAACGGCTCCTCAGAAGAATTGGTGAAATATACAGCCCCGTGCTAAAAGGGATGAAATGGTTTGGTTTCTACTTTCGAGATGCATCCCTAAGACATTTGTCCAGTGCGCGTGTAGCAGGGACTGGCAGGAAAAGGAACATTTTTACATTGCTCTATTGTGGTGTAGTACTCGCTGGTCATTGGTTTAATTTTGTGATGGCCTTTACTGACATCTTCTTTGGAAAAACTGTTTTCGTCTTCATGATGTTTAGTGTATGGTGTCTTTTAATTGCACTCAATGGCTTGGTTTGCCTTTATGTTCTATGTGTATCTTTAACGGACACAGGCCACTCTCGATTTGAAAATTTCGTTCTTGACTTGAGCGCTTTAAACATCAGAACAGATTTAGAAAAATTGATGAAAAAATCAAGAAAAGGAATGGTTACATTTTGGATCTTGTTCATTATATCTGGAAGCGGTGTCTTCTTTGTCAATTTTTATCTAAACCTCAAACTGGCAGCTTACAAGCCTTGGAATGCTTGGTCGGGCTTGAATATTTTCTCTGTATTTTTTCTTTTTATTGGAACTGCTCAGTGGGTCTTACCAATTCTGTTTCATCATATCACATGCGAAATACTTAAGGCATTGTTTGATGATTTGCATAAGAGGATGTCTTCCCGTGTATCTGCCGTTCCGACGGGTTTTGAGGCATTCAAGATGGAGCACCATAAGCTATGTGGAGTAGTCGCATCTGCTGACAAAGTGCTTTCACCTCTACTTCTTGAAATGGTTGGTCTGTACATCCCATTGCTGATTCTCAATTTGTACGAGATAATCAACTTACCAAGTGGTGCAGAAAAATATGAATTTCTGGCGTCCAATATCTTCTGGCTACTAGTTTCAATTTCTTTCTTATCAATGATAATGTCAACTGGCTCCAGCATTTCTGAAAAGGTAAGGTATAGGATGTTACCAAGGGTAAGCATAATTTTCACAACTCGGTACAGAGCCTGTTAAATTTCTACAGATGGAAACTGTTCAGTTGGTCTTGCATTTGCATAAATCTTAAAGCGTCGGGTCGCAATCTTCAATATTAACATTTTGAACTGTCCTTGCCAAACTATCTGGGGCTGTAGAGCATACCCTTAAGATCAAGCATTGGAAGTGTTTGCACCTATCTATAGATTAAATCCTAAACAGGCGCGTTGTAAGTCTCTCCATAAGATCTCTAAACTCAGGTTCCAAGATAATTGTATTCTTGTCTCAGTATTGTATTCTTAGTTGTATTCTTGTCTCAGAGATATAATGGTTTCCTTTACAGATCAACAGCTTCAAAGGGATTTTGCAAACTTTCCCCGTTTCAAAGGAGGACGAAGGGAAGGTAAGTTCCGTGTTGGGATACATTTTTGCAATAAAAATGTTAATAGTTTGTCTCTTGTTTTCAATCCCCGCCCTTACAACACCTTCTAAATGTTTTTTTTTTTTACTTATTGTACCGAAGTCTCTTTTTAAAAGAAGAAGTAATGTTTTCTTTTCTTTTAAGTTACTGTTGTTTGTATTGGATCTTCAAGATGAGCCAAAAGGTCTGTCTCTTGGAGGTTGTGTTATCATCAACAAATCACTCTCCTTAACGGTAGGAACATCTCGCATTTGTTTGCATGTCGCCCATATTGAACTAAGAAAAATGCAACGCAACTCGCAAAATTTAATTTGTGCGCGTTTCACACATTAAAGCATCCAGAAAGGTGTATGTATCTTTTCAGATTGTCGGATTAATCATCTCCTACTTCACGGTGCTGTTATCGTTGCCAAGATGATTGCCAGGATTGAATATTTTGCTCTTCAGATAGGGATGGGAGCAGAATCCAACAAAGAGAATCCTACGCTTGCATCAAAAGAGACAGTAACACGTTGTTTTATAGATGAAAATTTTTTTATTTCAATTTGCCCTTCAGGAAAATAAAACACGAGAAAACGTTTCAAGAAAAAACAAATAAAATAAGGTAAACGAAATAATTACAGTGAGCCCACCCACTTGGATTTGAATGGAGGCTCCTGTTTGATTATCTTTTCACTGCTTCGTCCAGATGCCTATAACACGTATTACTATTAAGCTTGAAAACTTCACGAACTAAAGTCAAAGTGTTTGTGGCTCGTATAATTTTTTTTGCCGTAAAGCAACAATACGATATAACTGTAAAATAAATTTATATTGAACTCTAATCACGGCATGGATTTTTGACCGAGATCCAAATCACACTCTTAAGATAATTTATACCGCTGTTGAGGAGATTAAACTTATGTTGGTTTTCCCGTCTCGCATATGAATATTTAGGGTTTAAAAAGGATAAAAAAGCAGAAAAAATGACTTTGGTTTCACAATTAAGTGAACAAATTATTAAACAAGAAAACTGAATAAAAAAACCTGCACGAGTGTACGTAATTTCACGTAATGTCCCACACGAGCTGCATATTGTATTTCGATTTGTGAATTTTTAATTTAATAAATCTTGCTCGATTAGTCGATTGCGGACTGATAGATTGGTTTAAATTGAGTCCAGTATGAGTGAATAGGAGAATTTATAAGGCATACAGCGCTCTGATGGAAACACTTCAGGTAGCTACTGTATGATAGAGTTGTAGCGTAAGACCATGCGATGCGTTCATCTCGTCTCAAGATCCTGATCTGAACTCCTTCTTCGATCAGAATTGCTGCTACCAGAGAATGTCGATCTGAAAAAGTTTATACTCCATATTTAAAGAAAGAAGAAACGGCTTACCTTACTGCAAAGGGAGAGTAGCTAATATTCAGTAATAATTTTGAGATTTTGTTCTTTATTTTGATTATCTTATCAGTCAAAATTCAGCCGGTATAAGTGCAAACTAATGCAATGCATATGGCATATATCTTGCCAAAGACAGAGAGGATTACCTTTGTCGACTGCTGAACCTGGTCCAAAGTTAACATAAGAAAAAAAATCAGGAATTTAATTAAGGAAACACAGTATGTTTCCATGAGACCAATCAGATTTGGAAGTTCAACATTTGGAAACTTCTCAGGCTACTCAATTGAATCTTATGGTGCTTTCTTCAAGTCATGTAATCATAATTCACATTTGACACTCAAATTTTTAATTCTATATTTAAATTTGAAATGTAATTGATTTTTCTTAATTAAATAAGAATGCGTGATCAAACAGCCCAAGGAATTGAAAGGTAAATATCATGACACCCCGGAGAATTATTTCCTTTTTAAACACAATAGCGAGTTTCTTGGCTTTATTAGTTTTAACAGAGCTAAAGGCAAAACACATGAAACAAACTATCATTAACAATGCCGGCATTGTTTTGAAACTTTTCCTCGTATTTGGGTTACTTTTATGATGATGAAGCCTCGTAGAGTGACGCCTACGCGCGCAAATAACATGATTTCCACATCCGAGCTGCTAAATACAATGAACAAGGTTTCAGAACGGCCAGTTCATCTGGCGAGTCAGGAAACGTAAACGAAAACCTGCTCAAAGCAATTGATAAAATATAAAGCTAGTGAGGTTGTCTGGAGCATATTATGGCGATACTACTCTTAAATCTTTGACAAGTTACTCTGGTCACTTCTTTATAAAGAAATGTTTTTCACTCTTGCACTGTGGTCTTGCAGCTACTGGTCTTCTGTATAATTTTCTTTCAGCTTCCCAGGAATGTTTCCTAGAACTGATGCACTGAGTGAGATAATTTCCTAGAACCAAATAATATATTTATTAGATCAATATTGTGCGCTCGGTGCCTTCTTGATGCACTGAGTGAGATAATTCTCCTGGTTGTGTCGCCCTTGAAAACTACAAGAAATTCTCGATTTAAGAGATTCGTTCGCAGCATGATCAAGAACATCGAAAGTAATGCCATTTGAAAAAAAGGTGAAAAGTAAGTCACGAAAAGGCACAATTGTATTTTTTGCTGTAATGGTCGGTGTCAGTGTAGGTGCTTTGATAAAATATTTGAAATTGGATTTTAATCCTGCCTGTTTTAAACCTTAATTTTTAATGAATCGTCTGTCTTTGCGCTAATTTCCTTTCTTTTCCTTTCTCTTTCTAATAATCGGTATTAGTGCGCAGTTCCTTCCAATTCTTTTTTTCTGTGATACCTGTCTCATAATAGTGAACCTTTTCGATGAACTGGGCAAGCAAGTGTCACAACAGAGAGAGTATCACAAATTGTGCAAAGTGGTGGAACTGGCCGATGAGATGTTTTCGCCGTTTATCATTGGAATTATGTCTTTGTAAATCCCTTGGATCTGCTTCAATTCGTGCTTGGTTGTTAATCTACTTCAGGAAAATGCAGAGAACAAAATCCTGATTATAGGAAATAATCTTTTTCGGCTTACTGTTGTAGCTTGTTTCGTGACAATCTTCCTGCTAATCGACGACAACGGCGACAGCGACAATGGCAAGGACATAATGATATAACGATGACGATGCATACGACGACGACAACGACGACGGCGACGGCGATGACGGACTTCAAGGGGGGTGGTGACGGTTTTGGTGACATTCACTTTGACATTGATAATGATTATTTCATAGTTATAATAGAAATACTGATGGACCTCACTATTATCTTTTCAGTTCCATGGTTTCATCTGCTTATCTGAGTACTCTATAAAATTCAATGAAATGCAAAATATGGGCTTACATTGGACCCCTGCCCAGAGGGAACAGAAATGTTTTATTCTGAGTGTTTTTTTTTTAAGTATGTGTTATGTCATCTTATGACTGTTCGTTCTTAGGGGATTTCTGATAAATAATCACTCCTCTACCGTGGTAAAGTTTCCAGAGGATTTAAACCAACTCGGATCTATAAAACTCGTTCGCTACATATGTCTTCCTTCCCACATCATAAGCTCACATCCTTTTTTTATTGTTTAACTTTATCTGTCATTAACTCCATGCATTGAAATCTATGAAGACACTACAATTTACCTCTTCAAAGTTCCTTTTTTCTTTTTCTGATGTAAATGAGAGGCTGGTGACAGTGAGAAGGCAAAACAGCTTGGCTCCATGGCTACATCAAAGAAACTCCACTTTTCTTTCATGAACCGAAACCAAATCGGGTAAATATGAGAAATGGGTTGTTAGCTCAAATAAGGTAGACCAAATGAATAAAAGAAACCAAATAGAATAATGGCTGGTGATTTCCTCAGTACAATAAGCATGGGAAGTAAGCATATGCACCTCATAAACAAACGCATTGTTGACTATAATTTGAATCAGTACATTTTCAGTTGTACAAGAACATTAGCCGGCGTTGAAAAACTTGTGGGATAATCTGCAAACATATTCTTAAATTCAAGAGAGCTACTGATGGGGCTAAGAAGACATATCAACCTGAGCTTCGGTACTCTATAAAATGAAATATAAGAAGGTTAACTTGCCGAAGTCTTTAAGAATATGACTTTTTTTTTCTTCCGCATCGCTTTTATTTCATTTTATCGGGTGAGGAAACTTTAGGAAAGGTGTTTAAATTCCGTGTCTAGCCGTAGGATGTAATTGTCTCTGGTATGGAAATTCGAAATTAGTAAGTCAAAGGTTGACTAGTGGCTTTTGTCCTTTGGGTATTTTCCGTCGGCTAAAGATAATGAGTTATCTCTGACGTTTAGAAGCACTTGCGCAACTCTCGTCAACATTCGAAATGTGTCTGTGAAAGGGTTACTTCACTAAGTGCACATACATCAGTGCAAAATACTAGTCGCATTACAGAGCTGTATTCTTTTGATGTCTAAATTTTTTGTTCCATCAGACCATTTAAAATTTTTTTGCAAATGACTCATCATGAGATAGAGGCGAATAGGAAAATAAAAATTGTTAGACTTTGGCTGGTTTTCATGTTTTTAATATGACCCTTATCGGCTGTAAGTGACAATAAAATTTTAACCGTTAAAGCATTTTGGAGCTGCAACGGAAAGTGGAGATCAACAAGTTAGAATGAATGGAAAAAAATTCTGGCTGTGTTTGAGATCGCCACTAAAAGGTACTGACAAAAAGAAAGAGCTCCAGGAAACTAAAAATTACCATAAAATTAAAAGCTATTATCAATCGTGTTGTAATCTCAGTGAAATATGTTTAAAAAATCTGGGTCCGTGATCCTAAGCAGCAACATTTTTCTTGCCACGTGAGTTGCCTTAAGTTTTATTTGGATATCAAACCAAGTATGTGGGATGTTTGAAGCAGACCTCGATGGTCGAAGGTAAAATGTGCAAACGTGTTACTTCTCATCCGAACATAATATAAAGTGTCCTAAAATGCTTTCAGCGTTTGTATGTTTCATGTGCCAAGTGCTTGGCACTCGCGCAAAAATGAATGCAGGGACGGCAACATCCATATGAAATTTTGCCTTATTATTCTCTTTTAATCACTGGATAAAATTTCCACCTATCTCAAATGAATAGAGGGCTTTCGTATTTCTCATTAGTATTCAAAGAGAATCAATTGATGTAGGAGAAGATCAGCTCTACTTCAGCTCTAAATTATTTATTCTTCAATTATCTCGCCAGCTGGAAGTCACACTCGAAAGAACTAATTTACTGTAGAAGCGCATTTATACTGACGAAAAGGCTTTCGTATTTCTCATAAGTATTGAAATCACTGTTAAAGATGTGTAGAATAAAACGAACATCAATCGACTCAAACAGTGTTGTTTGACCAGCTGTGATGAAGCCTTTGACATTTTATTCCTCAAATCAATAAAGAGCTTTCGTATTTCTCCTGAATTTTAAAGTCACTGTTGAAGATAGCCGCTACATTAAAAAGAACGATTGATGTGAGAGACGATCAGTTCTACTTCAGCTCTAAATAATTTATTTTTCAATACTGATCTCGTCAGCTGGAAATTACACTTGAAAGAACTTATTAACTGTAGAAGCGCATTTACAATGACGAAAAGGCTTTCGTATTTCTCATAAGTATTGAAATCACTGTTGAAGATGAACGCTACCTTAAAAAGAAAGAATTTATGTGGGATGCAGATAGTGAGTTAGACTCGATAAATCAGAGATAATTAGAGTTCATATGCAAAGATATATCCAAAAAATGAGAGGAATTTAACAAAGGAAACACGGTATGCTTCCATGAGGCCAATCAGATTTGGAAGTTCTACATCTGGAAACTTCTCAGGCTACTCAATTGAATCTTATGGTGCTTTCTTCAAGTCGTGTAATCATAATTCACATTTGACCTTTGACTTTTCAATTCAATTTAAATTTGAAATGTTATTGATTTTTCTTAATTAAAAATTCGTTTGCGTGATCAAACCACCTATGACACAAAATATCGGACACCCCGGAGAATTATTTCCTGTTTGAATATGAATAGCGAGTTCCTGCTTTATAAGTTATAACAGAGCTAAAGGCAAAACACACAAGAAAAGCGCTATCATTAACAACGCATTGTTTTAAAACCTTTCTTCGTCTTTGGGTTACTTTTTTGATAATGGTGTCTGGTAGAGTGACACCTACGCGCGCAGATAACATGATT